AGACCCACCCGGTGATACAAGCTCACCTGATTGATCCTCAGAGGCTTACCCACTAAAAAACTGTGTATGCATCGTCTTCCACCGATGACGGTTCGTGGGATCCCGTTAAGACGCGCCACTCATCCTGGTTGCATGAAATCTATGAAAGTTTTTTTTTCAGTCAACTTTTACAGCTAGCAGAGGTTGACAAGAGAGGTCGCTTTATAAATCGTAATATTGATTTTAGTAAAAATTAAGATGTTTCACGGCCATTATAGTTATTTTATTTTTTGTAAAATTAATCCATTACTTTGTTATAATTATTAATACAAAGATCGAACACAAAGGAAAATTCATTTGATCTGACTGGACTCGAACCTTTTTTTTGTTGTCCTAGATTGGCACACCGACGCATGTATAAAGATCGAACACAAACAGAAACAAATTTCCCAAAATAATACAAAATGAATATCATCATTATTATTTTTATTATATATATACACACTCAATAGCTACAAATCCTGCCTCACTTAGAAAAATAGAATGCATATTTCCCGATATGGTGGAAAAAAGATATTTATACCGTTGTACGCGGATAGGCTTCAAGGCAAAGAATCAAATATGAGAAGACTTGAATGTGGAAAAATTGGCATGCTCTCCTTAATCTAGGACTCCTTAATTATAATTTGGGGTCAAACATTTTTTTCGCCTTTTTTTAATATATCTGCCATGCCAAGTGTTTTTTTCTTCAAAAATAGCTGCCGAATGAGACTCGCTCTGTTCAGCTAAAAATTGGCATGTGGAGTGGAGTCTAGAGGCCTAGAAGTGCCAGATAATAATTTGTGCTTAAAATTGGTTTTTCGCCATTTTCAAATATGACCGCCATACAAGCGTTTGCAGGCAGTAGAAAAAAAATGTTTTGATCTCTTCCAAAATTGACATGTGGGAGTCTCTAGGAGTGCTTGATAATTAATTGTGATCAGCTTTAATTTAACGCCATTTTTCGATATGGCTGCCACAGAAGTATTTTTTGGCTGTTGATAAAATTTTGCTCTAATTCTACAGAAAATCGCCATGAGGCGTTCTCTTTGGGTGTTTAATAATAATTTGCAGTCAAAATTTACTTTTTGCCATTTATCAACAAGGCCGCCATTAAAGAGCTATGTTAATTTTTTTAAAGTCATAAGTGCCGAGGCCGTAGGCCGAGCTCTAGCGGAGGGCGAAGCCTCACCTTACGTAGGTAGTATACGGGGACTAGATTTCACAATTGTTCAAAATGTAAGGCATACTTCCCGATGTAGTGGAAATAATATCTTATTTACCGTACAACTTGTAGCGTTGTTGTATCTCGATCGTCTCTCTGTTAGATTCTTTTTTATTGGAATCTATGCCAAAAAGAGAAGTATTTAGGGAAAAAATGCCAGACAATCACTTCAAAATTCTGGTCTCAAACTAGGGAATTTCGTGTACTATGAGTACCAAAGAAACGATAATTCTGAAGGCAATACCCAGAATACCCTGACCAGGACCAACTTAAAAAAGGTATTTTTCATAAATTGGCTCAAATAAGGGATTGAATCTGGAACCTCCTCATCAAGCGCCCATAGTACTAATCACTGTGCCACCGAAGAGCACACCTCGTAATCTGAAAGCGACCACGGGCCGCAGGCCGAGCCCGACCCCACCGTAGGTGGGATATAGGACTCGGATTATATATAGCTCGATTACCACTCATGTAGCCAGTCACTGACATAATTGTTATCCCAGAAGGAGTCGCGGTGGGTAATAATGATGTACGGGAGTCGTAGTCGGATGGATCCGGTGAGTACCACAAAAATCCGAAACCTTCGAAAAATGGACTGCATCAGGTGGGACCCTGGCGCCGCGACCAAAGCATAACACCTACTGGCAGGGTCGTCGAACTAAAAATGGCCACCATCTTGGTCAGTTTCTACCGGAAGTGAAAAAAATTCAAAATTCGAATAAACAAGATGGCCGCCATACAAATTTCAGAGCCCTGCAGCTCGGCGAGTGTTGAAGAGAAGCGGGGAGTCCTCGATCAAATGTCATAGAGGGCGATTGGGGTCAACCGCCGGTGAAAAATTTTTTTCAAAATGGCCGACTCAAAATGGGGGTGCTCAGATCCGGCTGAAATTTGGCATGCGGCCGTGAATGGGGTCCTGCAATATGGATCTCCGGTCAAAATTTCAATTACGCCATTTTCCAAAATGGCCGCCATACATTTACCACAGTCCGCTATGTTCCGAGGCCTACATCTCAGCGAGTATGAGAGATAGGTGAGAGGCGCTCAAACGAATGGCGGACTGAAAATGGCGGCCCGAAATGAAAGTGCTCCGATCCGACTGAAATTTGACATCCGGTCGTGTATGGAGGCTCATGGTATGTATCTGCAACACGATATTTGGTTTAATTAAAAATGAATTTGATAACATATTTAAATCGAAAACATTAACTTTCCATAGAGAGACTAAATTCAACGACTGGGTAACAGTAGGTATTCATAAGAGTAGGTCTCGTTTGTATGAGCTATATGCTATGAAAACTTATAATACTAATTCCAATTTCATTGAATATGTTAGAATTTATTCAAAAATATTTAAAAAAGTATGTGTAGCTGCTAGGTTAAGTTTCACAGCAACAAAATTAGACAATCGATAAATAAATCCAAAACTACTTGGAGCATAATAAATAAAGAATCAGGCAGAGTTAAACAACACGATAGAGATATAGTTTTAGAATTAGACATCAAACTTATAAAATCTAAAGATAAAGTAGCCCAAGCTTTTGAATCGTTCTTTTCGGAAATTGCTGTGAACACTACAGAATCACTAAATTCCTCCCCTTCACTTGCTATTGATCTCCTAAAGGAAAATGTTAACGTTTGTGGCAGTTTATTTAATTTTCGTCATGTTAATCCACAAGACATCATAAAAGCTTTTAAGTCAATACATGTTAAAAAAACTGAAGATCTCTGGGGCATATCAACTAAAGTTATAGACTCAGTTATTAATCTAATTTCCCCACAGTTAGCTGTAGCTTTCAATAGGTGCGTTGACGAAGGTGTTTTTCCCAATTTAATGAAATACAGCAAGGTTATTCCCTTACTCAAAAGCGGTAGGAAAGTTGATCCTAGCAACTATAGGCCTATTTCAATTTTACCAGCTTTAAGTAAAATATTCGAAAAGGTTATGCTAACTCAATTACTGTCCTATTTCGGTAGGAATCATATTTTTCATAGTGAACAATACGGGTTTACTAGTGGTAGATCGACTAGCGATGCGGGGGTAGCGTTACTAAAACACATCTTTGATGCTTGGGAAAGGTCCCAGAACGCCATTGGTGTTTTCTGTGACCTCTCAAAGGCATTTGATTGCGTTGATCATATTACTCTTATTAGGAAGCTGGAATATTACGGTGTAAATGGCAAAACGTCGAAACTTGTCTCGTCATATCTCAACGGTAGAATTCAGAAAGTAGACATAAATGGAGTGACTTCTTTGGGTTCTCCAGTAAAAATGGGTATTCCGCAGGGCTCAATACTTGGACCTTTCTTATTTCTGATTTATATTAATGATCTGCCATTCTTTGTTAAGGACCATTGCGAAATAGTGTTGTTTGCTGATGATACATCCCTGATTTTTAAAACAGACAGACATGACATTAACTATGACCATATTAATGATACCCTCTCTAAGGTAGTTTATTGGTTTAATGCTAACAATTTATTGCTTAATGCCAAGAAGACAAAATGTGTTAAATTTGAATTACCTAACGTAAAATCGACTAGTCCAAGCATAGAAATAAACGGAGAAAAGTTAGACCTTGTTAATAAAGCAGTCTTCTTGGGAGTGACCTTAGATAGTAAACTTCAATGATTTCCACATATATCGTCTCTGGCCAGCAGATTAAGCTCCGCTGCATACGCAGTCTGCAGAATACGTGAGCTTACCGATGTTACTACTGCTAGACTAGTTTACTTTAGTTACTTCCATAGTACTCGTATAATGTCCTACGGGATTCTCATGTGGGGTAAAGCGGCAGATATTCAAACCATATTTGTATTGCAAAAACGAGCGATTCGTTCTGTGTACCGTCTAGGTTCTCGGGTATCTCTCAGAGAAAAGTTTAAGGAGACTGGTATCATGACTGTGGCGTCACAGTACATTTACTCAAATATTTTATATGCCCGTAAATATATACATAATTTCAATAAGAAAGAAGATATCCATAATATTAACCTTAGAGCTAAGTCCAAACTCATGGTACCACGATTTCGTTTAACCAAGGTAAACAACTCTTTTATGGGGAACTGTATACGTTTTTACAATAAGATTCCGGAGCATATATTAAGTTTATCAGTTGCTCGCACGGTGCAAAACCGAACGAACGTGTATTTGTATTTCTCTGCTTGCGTAGTTGTGACGACGCGTACACAATAATACGAAGCGATGGTCAAGTGCAATAAGTGTTCTAAACTGATCAATAAAAAGAACCCTGGGATTCAGTGTAATAAATGCTCGAAATGGTTGCACTGTGTCTGTGCGTCAATATCTGCGGAACAGTTGAATGCATTGTATACCACGGATTGTGTCGATTGGAAATGCCGTTCCTGTGCCGGGAGTTCACCGCCGAAACGTATATCCTGCATCATGCCAGATTCAGAGGATGAGGAGAATACAACCACAGAAATACCCTCTTCTACACAAAACAAAATCACTCAACAAATATTGTCGGACATTCGTCGAGAGGTTCGAGAGATTATTCGTAACGAATTGCAAACTACCCTCCAATTCTTATCGGACAAGGTCGATGATTATTGTAAGCGACATATTAGACATATAAATAATTTTGTCCTATTGTAATTATATTTTTGTAATATTAGAGCACTATTTATATTAAAGAGTATATTTGGTCATGAGTATTGTTTCCGTTGCTACATTGTTAGGTTGGTAGCGCCAGTAGCTTTAGTTGATGGCGCCACAATACACTATATTGGTGGCGCCAAAAATGCAGCCCTACCAAAAAGCTCCCACCATACTGCTAACGTTTCTTAATTTGTGATACTCGATTGCTCGACATTCTGTTTGTTGGAGTCTCAGAGGACAGTGCCTCTCATCTTGCTTTACCGTGCTATTTTATCATGCAAAGTGTATAATTGTAATAAGTCTTCATATCAATAAACGAAGAACACAAGGAGTTGGAATTTTATTTCTGAAACTTCCTAATATTATGAATAGAAAATTAAAGAGTACGAGAATTCAAATAAACGGATTGAACATCATTGTAATGATTTACAAAATAAATGTAAAAACTTAGATCTCAAAAATGAGTTCTTAGAACAAAAAATCAATCAACTTGAGCAATCACAACTGTCTAATGTTGTTGAGGTATGTGGGGTGACAGAAAGCGAGAAAGAGAACACAAAGTCAATTGTTGATGCCATCTGCAATAAACTACAACTTCAACCCGACTCAATTATAAATGCATATCGCAAAAGGAAACCCAAAGTCGGGACAGGCGTTAAAAGCAATCTGTCTACTATTACCGTAACATTACGAGAGGGGTTCCGTGACCAATGGATTGACGCCGCAAAGATCAAAGACATCAGAGGCATGGATATGGGTATGGCGGAGAATAACAAGATCTACCTCCGTGAACCCTTAACACCATTCACGTCTTATCTGCTCTGGAAAACTAAACAGGAATTAAAATTCACTGAGCTTTGCAAGTTTGTTTGGTGCAAACGAGGCAACATAATGGTACGTAAAGAGGAAAAAGAGAAGATATACATAGTGAGATCCGAAAAAGATATTTCTAGACTGTCTGCGGAATTCAAAAACGAATGAATAAGGATCCTTGTTAGTAAAATGTCGTTTGTATACATTTATGTTCATAAATGGCTAATACACTAAATGACATTCAAGAGGACAAATACAACAACTGGGAAAACTTTGCCAGACATATTCCACCACAGAATAGTGCAATGCTAATATTCCACGTTAACATAAGATCAATGTTAAAAAACTTTGACCAACTGGAGTTTATTGTACTAAGCAGTAAACGACTTATTGACGTCATAGTAATTTCGGAGACAAATATTAAATATCAATGTAAATCCTTTTTCGAGCTGCCTGATTATGAAATGTATACGGAGTTGAGAAAAAAGAGAAGTGGCGGTGGTGTGATTGTTTACATACATAAAAGTGTTCGATTTACAAGACACTCAGTGCGCATAAAAAACTTTGAGTGTATTGTAGGCCTTATTGAAAATAAGTTTAACCAAAAAATTGTGTTGTGTGCTGTGTATAGACCCCCCGATACTGATCGGACCAACTTCGCCCTGGAATTATCTCAGGTAATAAGTCAGCAGTCAACTAAGTTGAACTATGTTTTAATAGGAGATTTTAACATAGATTTAAAAATGAATTCAGCAGCTAAATCATTATACCTAAATTCACTGTGTGAGGTTGGTCTAGAATGTGGTATAAGCCAATATACGAGGGTCGAAAATAGATCAAACCTAATTACAAGATCATGTATCGACCATATTTTTGTACGTAGCTTAAACTGTACAGTTAAAACAGCTGTGATAATCAATTCGTTGGCTGATCATTATATAACCGGTTGTGCCATAATAACAAATAACTGTACGCGTCAACTTGAGCAACCTAAGGCTATTCTCAGACTTGATCATAAAAAAGTTTGTACTGAATTAAAATTGGTAAACTGGAATGAAGGTTTCAAATATTCGAATCCTAACGATATTATGGGTTTTATTACAAATAAATTTGAGCAGATTTATAATAATAATAAGTACACTACACACATTAAGTTAGGTAAAAGACAAAATTGTAAATGGTTAAACGAGAGAATATTATATATGATACAAAAAAGAGACGAGTTACATAGTATTTGGAAAAGAGATGAAAGTAATAGTGCGAACCGATTATTGTATAATAAATATAGGAATAAAACGAACAGCTTTATAAATAGCTCCAAAAATAACTATATTAAAAATGAATTATGTAAAAATTTCCGTAACCCAAAAAAAGTTTGGGAAATTATAATCACTTTATGTGGTAAAGTAGTAAAATCAATAGATAATATTATATTAAAATATTTTCCGATTTCACCCAAGATATTAGTAAATAATTTTGCAAAAGAATTTAAAAATAATGTAAAAAAGATATGTTTACAGTGTGATAGGCTTTTAATGGACGAGCATTCTTATATACGAAAACCGGATCTTACCATACGTCTGAAAAAAGCCAGTTGCTATAATGTCTTCTCTATTGTAAAACATTTGAATGTTAATAAAAGTCCCGGAATTGATAATATACAGACTGCTCATTTGAAGTATGTAATTTCTGACATTACCCCGTTATTAACACACTTAATTAATAGTTGTCTTGAGACGTCGTTGTATCCCGATGATTTGAAGGTTGGATTAATAAGGCCCATTTACAAGAGAGGTTCCCATAGGGATTTAAACAATTATAGGCCTATAACAATATTACCTTCTATCGATAAAATAGTCGAGAGGTATATTGGCAACGAAATAAATAAGTTTTTAAACGTGCATAATATTATCAGCGATAAGCAATATGGATTCCAAAGTAACCGAAGTACGTCTCAATTATTATCTCGATTTACTAATGAAATCAATGAATACTTGAATGATCGGCAGCATGTTCTTGTAGTCTTTATTGACTTTAGTAAGGCATTCGAAACTTTAAACTTTAAAACGCTTTATTCTAAATTAGAGCAAAATGGTATACAAGGTCCACTTTTAAACTGGTTTAAAAACTATCACAGCAACCGACGTACATGTGTTAACATTGCAGGGGTTTTAAGTGAGGAAATTTTGACTGAGGAAGGCACGGCACAAGGCTCAATTTTGGGTCCAACCGAATACTTGATTTTTGTCAATGATATGTGCAACATTTTTACAGATGTCTCGTTTTACCAATTTGCAGACGACACTTGCTTGATTTCTTCACACAAATGCATTATCGAGGCGCAAAAAATACTACAGCATAATTATGACCAACTATGCAAGTGGGCTCACGATGTAGGGCTCGTTATTAATTCGGACAAAACGAAAATGTTGCATATACATTCTCCATATATCAAATCTCTGTCAATACCGACTATCATAACACACACACACGTATGCTTACATGACGGGAGTTTCGTAAATTGTGTGAGCACCTGCAGTGCCTTAGAGGTGGTTCATCAGCATACTTACTTGGGATTGATTATAGATAAAAACATGAACTGGAGACTGCAAGTGGATCATGTTTGCAAAAAATTAAGAGTTCTTATTGCCAAAATGTCCATATTGAAATACAAACTTCCTTATAAATTGCTTAGGATGCTGTATGTGTCTCTTGCTGATTCTATTATAGATTATGGTTTGTGTAGTTATGGACGCACTTATCCGACTTATTTAGATCACATTTATAATCTGCAGTTATCTCTGCTTAAATTAATTGTTCCTTATAATATAAAAATAAAATTTAAAGATGATTACAACAAATTGTTTCAGCATTGTCAAGTTATAAATGTTTTTAATATGACACAAATGCTATTCGTTTGTCAAGAATACAATAATTATAAGCATAGTTTGCGTGAGAGAACGCGTTTGGGAAATCTGCGCGACATATCATATTTGCCGAAGTATTTATTGCCGGGGTACAACAACGTTTACGGAATGCGTAAGCCAGATTTCATGCTGCCGAAAGTGTTGAACGACCTTCCAGCCACTGTACTGGTCGACCTGGAGGATAATGTCAAGAAGTGTAAAGCCATTCTTAAGAGACACTATCTAGGTGGGGCGTCACTTTTGAATGGCACGTAACATAGATATACAGTGTAATTTTTTAAGTACCTAGCTTGTCAACTCTTCACTAGGCCGTTAAACCATAAGGTTTCTTACCTAGTGAAAAGAATAATGTTAATATTTTTCTTTTTGTTATGAATAAACTAAAAAAAAAAAAAATATCAATTCCTAAGTTCAAAAACTACATTAAAAATATTTTGATCGAAAAATCATATTACAAAGTTTAAGACTACGTGTTAGATAAAGATGTATGGAAAGACGACATGGCTCCAGAATCCACACAAATTTGATTCAAAGTGTATTCCATAGCATTTAAGTTTATTTGAAAAGAGCAATCCCTAGAGTTTCTTGCTCGTTCTTCTCAGGGAGGTCAGCGTAGTGAACGAGCAGTAGCTTAACTGTGACGTTTTCAAGTGTAAATTTATTTTACCTATGGAATAAATAATCTTTGACTTTGACTTTGACTTTGACTTTGCGAGCAAAATTTGGATTCCGCCATTTTCCAATATGGCCGCCATACAAGTGAATTTTCGGTTTTTTGGCTGCATTTTTCTCCCAGAAGAAGATGGGTGTATAAGAGTGATGTATGCGAATAATGATAAACATATAAAGCTACAAATCCTGACTTAGAAAAATAGAACGCATACTTCCCGGTATGGTGGAAAAAATATATTTATACCGTTGTACGCGGATAGGCTCCAAGGCAAAGAATCAAATATGAGAAGACCTGAATGTGGAAAATGTAAACGAGTGATCAACGGCCTGCAAAAACTATAATCAAGTGGGGGGGGATTTTTGTGCACTTTTTATGAGATACACCTTGGTCAATTTCCGCAGAAAGCAAAAAATTTTCGAAATTCAAATAAAAAAGATGGCCGCCATACACATTTCGAAGCCTTCTATCACGGAAACTATTAGAGATAGGTAAAGGTGCTGGAAGGAATGTCATAGAGGGTAACAGTGGTCAATTGCTTGTGTGAAAAAATTCAAGTTGACGAATTTAAAATGGCGGCCGAAGAAAAACTTGATTCGATGCGGCTGAAAATTGGCATGCGGGGTTCTTTAGGAGTCCGTAATCATAATTTGGTGTCTAAAGTTTTTTCGCCATTTTTCAATATCGCTGCCATATAAGCGTCTTTTTCGATAATAATAGTTGCCGAAAGAGACTCTAGAAGCGCGAGATAATAATTGGTGCTCAAAATTGGTTTTTTGGCATTTTCAAATATGGCCTCCAAGGCAATACAAAAAGAATTGTTCTGATCCCTTTGATAGTTGTCATGTGCCTCTAAGAGTGCTTGATAATAATTTGTGATCAATATTAGTTTATTGCCATTTTTTCAATCTCAAATTTGCCCTAATTCGATTGAAAATCGGCATGAGGGGTCTCTCTGGGTGTTTAATAATAATTTGCGGTCAACATTTTTTTTCGCCATTTTTCAATATGGCTGCCATACAAACTTTTTTAGCGGATGATAAAAATTTGCTCTAATTCTACTGAAAATCAGCTTGTGGGGTTCTCTATGGGTGTTTAACCATAATTTGCAGTCAAAATTTACTTTTTGCCATATGTCAATATGGTCGCCATTATGTGAATTCTTTTAAAGTCAAAGTGCCAAGGCCGTAGGCCGAGGTCTAACGGAGGGCGAAGCCCGAAGCGTCCGCACGCCACCTTACGTAGGTAGTATACAGAGACTAAATTACGAGTCAAGATTTCACAATTGTTCAAAATGTAAGGCATACTTCCCGATGTAGTGGAAATAAGATATAGCACTGTACCTCGCCCGTCTCTCTGTTAGATCTTTTTTCTTGGAAGATATGCCAAAAAGAGAAGTCTTTTGGGGAAAAATGCCAGACAATCACTCCAAATTTCTGGTCTCAAACTAGGGAATTTCCTGTACTATGACCAACTAATTTTTTTTTATAAATTGGCTCAAAACAGGGATCGAATCTGAAACCTCCTCATCAAGCGCCCATAGTACTAATCAGTGTGCCAATGACGACCTT